GTTGCTTTTACGCCAAACATATCGTTTTGCATTGTGGCCAAATAGTTTGATTTTGGTTTCATCTGACCAGAGCACCTTCTTCCACATGTTTGGTGTGTCATCCCAGGTGGCTTGTGGCAAACTTTAAGAGACTTTTTATGGATATCTTTGAGAAATGGCCACTCTTCCATAAAGGCCAGATTTGTGCAGTGCACGACTGATTGTTGTCCTATGGACAGACTCTCCCACCTCAGCTGTAGTTATCTGCAGTTCATCCAGAGTGATCATGGGCCTCTTGGCTGCATCTCTGATCAGTCTTCTCCTTGTTTGAGATGAAAGTTTGGAGGGACGGCCGGGTCTTGGTAGATTTGCAGTGGTCTGATACTCCTTCCATTTCAATATAATTGCTTGCACAGTGCTCCTTGAGATGTTTAAAGCTTGGGAATTTTTTTTGTATCCAAATCTGGCTTTAAACTTCTCCACAACAGTATCTCGGACCTGCCTGGTGTGTTCCTTTGTCTTCATGGGAGACCTGCTTTCCACTCCCTGTGGACAGGCTCCGAGTGGGAGTGGCGATATAGCCTCTCCAATTTTCTGACGTCCTGTTTTAAAGTGTGGAGTTGAACACTGTACCAGGGCGACGATGATCTAATCCTAATAGTTTTCTGTTTTAAAGGAGCTGCTGCATTTAATGCAGATTTTACAGACTCCATAGTGTTGTCCACCGTTTGGTCAATGACTGAGGGACTGCAGCAGCTGTGAACAGGTTCACCTGCAGCAGTATTCAACATAGGCTGTTCTACAGAGGAACTGGTGAGTCAGATTGTTTGATTCTGCACGGAGCTAGTAGCTAGCGCTAGTCTCTGCTGCTTTATTGACTTTTCTCTTTGATGTATGTTTTCCTGTGTCGGCGCCTAGGCCTAGTAGTATGATTGTGATAATGTGTATTGATGTATTTCAATGTGCTCCTCAGCAAAATGTTAAATACATTGATATGTTTGATTGTGTGCACAAGATAAGCTAATGTGACCAGTGCATTATTATTTATGGTGCATTGTGATGAGTACTCTAGATTATTTTAGTATATGAGAACTTGTTTTGTAATGACCTATTGCTAATATGAAATATGTGATTAATGCTGGTCCTGTTTGTAACAGGCCAGGTTCTATCCATCCATTCCTTCCATTGGTCCCTCCAGTCCAGTGGTCCCCTTGTCGATGGCGAGCTGCCCCAGGCCCAAAGCCTAGACCCAGACTGTCCCACAGTGCGGTAGGAGGCGAGCAGCCTTTTGCTCACCCACACAACACCTCCATCCATCACAAAGTGGACCTTTAAGAGACATTTGATTACAGCAACACGCTGGTTATATGGACTCAACTTTACACCCTTACATTGTACATATTGTGTATATTGTATATATATATATATATATATCTATTGTATATTTTTGTATATATTTTTCCTCAATATAATTCACATTTTTGCACCGTATCACTGTCTCTGTCTTTTTAAACACTTCTGGTTCTAGCCTAAGATCAGTATTGTGCCTGTGGGTAACATAACGCATACAACCCATATATGCTACATGTACTTTGGACATATTTGTCTGGTGTGGAGCTTCTGAATGTAGAGAAGGCCAAATACCCGCGGCACGTCATCGGGAGTGACCTCAGTGATGACCATGACGTTCAGAGGCAGTACTGTCAGCTGTACGGACAGGCTAACACTGAAGCACACCTCTCTATACTGCACCTCTCTCTATACTGCACACCTCTCTGTACTGCACACCTCTCTACACCTCTCTATACTGCACACCTCTCTATACTGCACACCTCTCTACACCTCTCTATACTGCACACCTCTCTATACTGCACACCTCTCTACACCTCTCTATACTGCACACCTCTCTATACTGCACACCTCTCTACACCTCTCTATACTGCACACCTCTCTATACTGCACTTGGTATCCTCGTAAGTAGCATAAGCTGCGTGTAGCTCTATCGTCAGCTGGTTGTGTTTACATCTAAAACCACAAGAAAATAAATGCGTTGCTTTTTTGTTACATGAAAAAATCTTTACCTTACCTTCTAAATGTCTGAAATTGGTGATTTTTGTAGCGATTAAAACAATCGATGGGCTGGAAACAAGAGAGACAGATCACGCTCGCAACAGGTAATCTAATAGGAGAGGGTGATTTCATGCCCACTTTTTTGAGAAGACTACCCACAATGCCGTGCGGTCGAGCCGGAAGTTCGGAACTCTTGATCCCTGTATAGAGGAGCCAATTACCAGCGCATCAGCGAGCTCTCTCAGCAGCTCTCTCAGCAGCTCTCTCAGCAGCTCTCTCAGCGGCTCTCTCAGTGGGGCCATCTTCCCCGGACAGAGCGTCCCAGCGGAGGAGGCCCAATGGGGAAACTACCAACAACACGTGGCCCTCTCCGAACAGTCACAAAGCCATCACTATCCTGGTCTTGTCCCAGCTGCGGAGGACGGGCTGGGAGGCTAGGCTCGCTAGTTCTCCTCTGCCTTTCCCTAAAGCTGCGCTCCGCTGTCCCTGAGGATACGGCCTGGCTGTAGCTAATGCTAGCGCTAGCTCGAGACTCCAGTGCTCGGAGACGCAGCTCTAACTCACTGACCCTGGATTCCAGAGCTACGACTACACTTCACACATCTATCACTACCCTCAGAGAAGGATCCAGGGTTTGGACTCGCCATATGGCAACTCGAGCAGTAAAGGACTGAGGGAGAGACAGCAGTCGCCATAGGAGTAGTGCCTCCCCCTCCTGCCTCCCCCTCTGCCTCCCCCTCCTGCCTCCCCCTCTCCTCTTGCCTCCCCCTCTTGCCTCCCCCTCTTGCCTCCCCCTCCTGCCTCCCCCTCCTGCCTATATTGTTTAGTGCTGGTCTGTCAGCTCTAGAGGCACCTTTACGGCCTCCAACTAAAGCCTGCTCCTCTACTCCTCCTGCTCCTCTCTCTACTCCTCCTGCTCCTCTCTCTACTCCTCCTGCTCCTCTCTCTACTCCTCTCGCTACTCCTTCTGCTCCTCTCTCTACTCCTCCTGCTCCTCTCTACTCCTCCTGCTCCTCTCTCTACTCCTCTCTCTACTCCTTCTGCTCCTCTCTCTACTCCTCCTGCTCCTCTCTCTACTCCTCCTGCTCCTCTCTCTACTCCTCCTGCTCCTCTCTCTACTCCTCCTGCTCCTCTCTACTCCTCCTGCTCCTCTCTCTACTCCTTCTGCTCCTCTCTCTACTCCTCCTGCTCCTCTCTCTACTCCTCCTGCTCCTCTCTACTCCTCCTGCTCCTCTCTCTACTCCTCTCTCTACTCCTCCTGCTCCTCTCTCTACTCCTCCTGCTCCTCTCTCTGCTCCTCCTGCTCCTCTCTCTACTCCTTCTGCTCCTCTCTCTACTCCTCTCTCTACTCCTCCTGCTCCTCTCTCTACTCCTCCTGCTCTTCTCTCTACTCCTCTCTCTACTCTTCTCTCTACTCCTCCTGCTCCTCTCTCTACTCCTCCTGCTCCTCTCTACTCCTACTGCTCCTCTCTCTACTCCTCCTGCTCCTCTCTACTCCTCCTGCTCCTCTCTCTACTCCTTCTGCTCCTCTCTCTACTCCTCCTGCTTGTCTCTCTACTCCTCCTGCTCCTCTCTACTCCTCCTGCTCCTCTCTTTACTCCTTCTGCTCCTCTCTCTACTCCTCCTGCTTCTCTTTGTACTCATCCTGCTCCTCTCTACTCCTCCTGCTTCTCTCTGTACTCCTCCTGCTCCTCTCTCTACTCCTCCTGCTCCTCTCTACTCCTCCTGCTCCTCTCTATGGACTGGACTGGACTCATAACACAGACGCCCTCTTCAAGAAGGGCCAGCGCCGGCTCTACCTGCTGAGGAGGCTCAGGTCTTTTGGAGTGCAGGGGCCACTCCTGAAGACCTTCTATGACTCTGTGGTGGCATCAGCCTCTTGTACGGTGTGGTCTGCTGGAACAGCAGCATCACAGAGAGGGACAGGAAGAAGCTGGACAAGGTCATCAGGAAGTCCAGCTCAGTCCTGGGCTGTTCCCTGGACACAGTGCAGCAGGTGGGGGACAGGAGGGTCCTGAGCAAACTAACATCTATGCTGGACCATGACTGTCGCCCCCTGCAGGACACTCTCTCTGCTCTGGAGAGCAGCTTCAGTGACAGACTAATTCACCCTTGCTGTGTGAAGGAGAGGTTCCGTAGGTCTTTTCTTCCTGCTGCTGTCAGACTGTACAATAAGAACTGCTGAGCCTGTAAATTTCATTCATCTGTAATTAAGTACATTCTTAAATCATGTGCAATGTGCAATACTGTAACTTCAGAATGTCACAGAACAATGTCACTTTACCTCATGTCACTTTACTTATATACTTTTTATCCTGCACTATTTAACTGTACAATATATAACTGCACTACTACATATATATTTTTGACTGGTATTGAAGCATTTTCAGCATCTACAGCTAGTTATGTTAGTTAAGAAACATAGCTACTACTTATTTGTATATAGTGTATATATTGTGTGTGCTCCCTGTGTGCTCTTACTACTGTCCTGTCTGTGCGATGCAACACCGAAATTTCCCCACTGTGGGACGAATAAAGGAATTCTTATCTTATCTCTACTCCTCCTGCTCCTCTTTGTGCTCCTCTCCTTCCCCTCTGTCTTCTGCTCACAGAGGATACAATGAGAGAGACCAGAAATAGACCAAAGAGAGATCAGAGGGAGGCCAGAGAGAGACCAGAGAGAGACCAGAGAGAGACCAGAGAGAGACCAGAGGGAGGCCAGAGAGAGACCAGAGAGAGACCAGAGAGAGGCCAGAGAGAGGCCAGAGAGAGGCCAGAGAGAGACCAGAGAGAGGCCAGAGAGAGGCCAGAGAGAGGCCAGAGAAAGGCCAGAGGGAGGCCAGAGATAGAAGGACCAGGGGTCTAGTCCAATAATGAAAGAAGTTAAATGGATTCAAAGTCAGGTTTATTAGTATAGCACACTTTAAACACAGTTAAATTATAATAAAGTGTTAGTTATGGACAGAGTCTGTGCAGCGCAGCTCCGGGTCTGCAGGGGGCGCTGTCTCAGGCTCCTTCACACACTCTCCCAGCACCAGCCTCACCCCTGACACTCCAGACATCTCCAGCCTCTGCTCTATCTACAACCAGAGAGAGAGAGACCAGTGAGAGACCAGAGAGAGTCCAGAGAGAGACCAGTGAGAGACCAGAGAGAGACCAGAGAGAGACCAGTGAGAGAGACCAGTGAGAGAGACCAGAGAGAGACCAGAGAGAGACCAGAGAGAGACCAGAGAGAGACCAGAGATAACACATTGCTAACATTCAATCAATGTTCACATGAATCCTGTTCTTTATCATTAAACTAAGTAAGTAAGTAATATTTATTTATATAGCGCCTTGTCACTGCAGACCAGAGTCTCAAAGCGGTTTACAATTGTTATTTTTTGGGCATTAGTCTCTCACTCCACACAGAGATGGGAGCGGGGCCAGTACAGGAGGCACATGCCAGACCTATTGTACATGTTTTTAATGGTAGGGGAAACCAGAGTACCCGGAGGAAACCTATGCAGACACGGGGAGAACATGCAAACTCCACTCAGAAAGGCCCTGGTCCGACCGGGATTCGAACCCAGGACCTTCTTGCTGAGAGGCGAGAGTGCTATCCACTCAGCCACCATGCCCCCCAAAACTGGACTAAAGGTCTGGGTTCACTCAGGGGCCTCTGGTCCTCAGGGGCCTCTTGACCTCAGGGGCCTCTGGACTGGACCAATCAGAGCAGACTCCTTCCACTCCCTCTGAAACTGAAGTGGGAGGAGTCTGCTGTTGGAGTCAACACCAGTGGGGGCGGGTCCCGGCTCAAAAGTGGCCAAAATGACGTGCGCTGACATGCTGCAATACCACCCCGGGCCTGTGGGGGTGGACCCAGAAGTAGAATTAGCCAATACTAACATATAGCATTGGCAGACCTCTCGAAAACGTCTTTAGAGGATGGTCCAAAAGTGGGCTCTTGGCAGATGGTGCTGTTGTAGCTGGTTATACATGCAAGCAAACCAACAGAGTTTGTGGCACTTAAGTGTATATTTAAAGAAAACCGAAGGATTTAAGAAGAAAGTTCAGGATGACAAGGGACTCTAAAATTCCCACAAAATCCGACCTTTATGAAAGCTGTAGGTTCTCTGTCAGCTGTTTTAGTTTACTTTGAGTTATATGGAGAAAATGACTGTGTAGCCCACGTGAATTTAGTCTGCAGTACGCGAGAATCCCTCAGCTCCGAGCTAGTAACACCCAAACCAGTTATTATAATAGATCCATGTATCATACAGTGGTGTGAATGACAGGATTTTGAATATAGGAAAAAAATATCATAAACAGCTGCGGTAGAGTGTCTTGTCAAGGCAGTAGGTTTTGGTTTGTTTGCCTGTAGGTAATAACCAGCTACAACAGCACCATCTGCTGGTGTACTGCTAGAACAACCACATTACACGTACGAATCTTTTTGACACACGCTAAGCGGCAGAGGTGTGTCAAAAAGAGATTTGTGTGTAAAACAGAGCCTGTGCGTAGCACTTTGGCTTTTGTCCGTTCTTCTCTTCGTACAACGTGGCAGTGTTGTGCCAGTTCACAGCTTTTCTGAACTAGTTCAAGTTCAGTTCATACTTGCTCAAAGTGAACAGTTCACGTTCAAAGTTCACAATTTTAATTCTGAACTAGTTCAAAGTTCAGTTCATTTTACTTTTTTGTGAAATAGTCAAATTTTTTCGAGCTATAATATATTTTTATATATATATATATATATGTAACACGGGTGAAAAATCCTGTAAGAGTGAGACCTCGTTTTACAATACTGATCTTTGCGTTCCCCCCTGCGTGCGCGTCTCGTGACCGGAGCTGGCCAATCAGCCGGTTATATTTTTCCTAACCAGGAAGCACTGGTAGTGCGAGAGGTGCCGTGTATTGGGTTGCTGCAGGCCAGGTTTCGATGGCGAGCTAAAGAACCGGAACTAGTCCTGGACCTGCTTGAAAACCTGAACCCACCTACCTCAATAGGGCTGGTAGGAGGCTCTTGCAGCCAACCATACAAACTCTCGCACCTTGCACTTTATCCACGACCCCAACCATTGCCTCCTTTTCACTCCTCACACGGACACTTACCTCTGGACTCAAAACAATTCTCGGGTCGTGTGGATTTCGCTCTGTTGAGCGCGTGCAGTTCCAATTGCGTTGTGCGAGTGGCCCACGGGTCACGTGTAAATATTGAACTCTAAACCTATGACTTGTGTATGTATATATATATATATTGCCTTCTGTTCTGTGTATTGAGTGTATATGGGATTTGAGTATGTGTGAATGGCCATTCTAATTCTATTGTTAATATTGTCTAATTGTGTACAATACATGGTACCTTTTTAATATGCAACTACAAACCCAGTCTCTGCCTCTTCTCTCCCTGAGTCTTATCTGTTCTTTCTGAGTTGAACTAGCCTAACTACTGAACTTGTTGAACTACTATTGTGAGTATTTATTGTAACTAGCTATTTAATTAGCAACATAAGTGCTACATATATATATATATATATAATATATATATATATATATATATATATATATATCTCCTGTACACCCACAGGAGGAGAGTCTTTTGACTACAAAACAGACCAGATTGACATGGTTTTCAATGGGAGCCAAACGGAGTCGTTCCATCTCTGCTCATAAACTACAGACAGTAATGCGCTGCAGTGCGTGTGTCTATACTTTATGTCAAATGTAAACGGTGTAAACTTTGTCGCTAACCAACGCGCCGCACCGCAACACGAGTCAGGGTGCGTTCACAGACGGTGGAAACCGTAGGAATTTTTAGACTTCGGCGGAAAAAGTGCGAGAATACAGGAGGGAGGAACTTTCTCTCGTTGCGTTTCAAAAGAGAAAACAGATTCCAACGTTCATAGAGATGTCTGCCGTTCATGACACATAAAATGGACTAATTCACGTTCAAGTTCTTTTTTTAAAAATGTGTTGTGTTCAGTTCAACGTTCACGAAAAAATGAGCGCGTTCAATAAACGCGTTCTTTTGAACTCGTTCACGCACAACACTGCAACGTGGTTATTTACACACAGATTGTTCTGCTACAGACACAAATGTCAAATTACACACACACAAATCTGTTTACTCACACACAAATATTATTGAAACAATAATAGTTCATATGGAGACCGCATCTATAGCCTGGTCTGGTCTGGTCCTGGTCCTGGTCTGGTCTGGTCTGGTCCTGGTCTGGTCCTGGTCTGGTCCTGGTCTGGTCCTGGTCTGGTCCTGGTCTGGTCCTGGTCTGGTCCTGGTCTGGTCCTGGTCTGGTCCTGGTCTGGTCTGGTCCTGGTCTGGTCCTGGTCTGGTCTGGTCCTGGTATGGTCCTGGTCTGGTCCTGGTCTGGTCTGGTCCTGATCTGGTCTGGTCTGGTCCTGGTATGGTCCTGGTCTCGTCCTGTTTAGGCCTGTCACGATAACAAATTTTGCTGGACGATTAATTGTCTCAGAAATTATTGCGATAAGCGATTATATTGTCGTTCGGAGATCATCGATTACAATGATAATGCAGGTACACCTTTTCAAAGAGAAATAAACTTTTATTTTTAACGAATATTTAACGGTAGAACACAATAAACTGATTGTGTTGTAGATGCATATGTAAGTTTGTTGTGTTGCCGCTTTTAACTGCTACTGTTTTCCAACAAATGCGACACACCGACTCGCACATGTTCAGTGGTTCACCACGGGCATTCGGTTTAAATCCGAAATGCTCCCACACTGCAGCTGTCGCGTTTGGCTTGGAAACCAATTCCATCGTTTTGTCCCGCACTCGCAACTAGCTTTCTCTCTGCGTAGTGCCTACCGCTTTCTCTCTGCGTAGTGCCTACCGCTTTCTCTCTGCGTAGTGCCTACCGCTTTCTCTCTGCGTAGTGCCTACCGGTAAACTTCTCTTGCGGCTCCTCAGCTGCACTCTGTGGGCTACGCCAGTAGTCCCACCTCCCCACACACCAGGCGAATGACAAGTGACTGACATGTGGGGTTCACACCAATGGGGCGTACAGAAGTCCTGCTGCGGTAGCGCCCACCGGAAGTAGCGGGGCGGGCTTTGATGCTAACAGCTAAGCTAGCGGGTTTTTTTGTGTAAAGTTTCTACTCCAAGAATGCAAGTCTGCAGCATCTCTGTGTTCAGAGACCTTCTAGAGACCTTATATAACAGCAGTACGTGTTCACGGAGGTGCGCCATAAGTTTATTTTATTGGTACGGTACGGTACTTCTGCATCGGCAAACACGCTAACGCTAGCTGCGCTAGTATAGTCACTAATCAAGCCTGAATGAGAACTCAGCTGCCGGCATATGTTCACAACTACTGTGTCCCCCATAGTCAATCCTGGTTAAGTCCTGGTTTAGGTCCTGTTTTGGCTGTATTTTGTATTTTTGAGTAATTTCCGTCTGCTTGCTAGACCGCTAATGTTCCCGTGACCACTTTGCGGCTCTCTGACCCGAGAGAGACGGGGGAAACAAACAAGCTGCAAATGGGATTTATCGCGGCCAGAAAAGTTATTGAGCAAATTTTATTTATCGTGCGATTAATTGATTTATTGACTATCGCGACAGGCCTAGTCCTGTTCTGGTCCTGGTCTGTTCTGGTCCTGGTCTGGTCCTGGTCTGGTCTGGACCTGGGTGAGCAGAGCCCGGTGGATCTTGGGGTCAGTGAGATCAGCGGATCCAGAACTTAGACGGAGCTTCACTTTGGTTCTTTTCATTTTCACCTCCGGAACATCTACACAAGTTACAGAACCGGAACAAGTTACAGAACCGGAACAAGTTACAGAACCGGAACAAGTTACAGAACCTGAAACTTTTGTACTGAACCTAAAACACAGACTGACCATTCCTTAAACAAAAGTACACACTTGAAAACACTGATATACAAAACGCGACACACATCAGACCGACACAAACAGGCCTCAGTTTAGCCATTTTCAGAACTTTGAAGGAAGGAAGAGCAAGAGAGAGAGGAAGAGGAACAGCAAGAGAGAGGAAGAGCAAGAGAGAGGAAGAGGAAGAGAGAGAGGAAGAGGAAGAGCAAGAGAGAGGAAGAGGAAGAGCAAGAGAGAGGAAGAGGAAGAGCAAGAGAGAGGAAGAGCAAGAGAGAGAGGAAGAGGAAGAGCAAGAGAGAGGAAGAGAGAGAGGAAGAGCAAGAGAGAGGAAGACAAGGAGGAAGACACTGAGAGAAGCAAGAGTCAGACACAGCTGCAGCATCAGGACCTTCAGATGGAAACATGTCTCCAACATGTACTGTACCTGTGTACTGCAGACTGTATCTACAGTATTTACAGTACTGTACCTCTGTACTGCAGACTGTATCTACAGTATTTACAGTACTGTACCTGTGTACTGCAGACTGTATCTACAGTATTTACAGTACTGTAACTCTGTACTGCAGACTGTATCTACAGTATTTACAGTACTGTACCTCTGTACTGCAGACTGTATCTACAGTATTTACAGTACTGTACCTGTGTACTGCAGCCTGTATCTACAGTATTTACAGTACTGTACCTCTGTACTGCAGACTGTATCTACAGTATTTACAGTACTGTACCTCTGTACTGCAGACTGTATCTACAGTATTTACAGTACTGTACCTGTGTACTGCAGACTGTATCTACAGTATTTACAGTACTGTAACTCTGTACTGCAGACTGTATCTACAGTATTTACAGTACTGTACCTCTGTACTGCAGACTGTATCTACAGTATTTACAGTACTGTACCTGTGTACTGCAGCCTGTATCTACAGTATTTACAGTACTGTACCTCTGTACTGCAGACTGTATCTACAGTATTTACAGTACTGTACCTCTGTACTGCAGACTGTATCTACAGTATTTACAGTACTGTACCTGTGTACTGCAGACTGTATCTACAGTATTTACAGAACTGTACCTCTGTACTGCAGACTGTATCTACAGTATTTACAGTACTGTACCTCTGTACTGCAGACTGTATCTACAGTACTGTACTGTATCACATGTACTGTACCTCTGTACTGCAGACTGTATCTACAGTATTTACAGTACTGTAACTCTGTACTGCAGACTGTATCTACAGTATTTACAGTACTTTACTGCATTACATGTACTGTATTGTAATTTGGCTATTGCACAGTAGAGTAAACTACATAGTACTGTACTATTGAGATGTCACAGTACTGTGTACAGTATACAGTACTGTAAAAAAAAAAACTAAACCAATAGTAACAAGTTGTGGTTACATATTTCTACAGAACGACTAGAACCTTCTCCAGGAGCTCAACACCTGTTCACCAACAGCAGGAACAGTGTGGAAACAGTCTGAGCAGGAACATGATCCATAATCCCACTCACAACAACTGCCTAGTTTTACATTAGACGTTTGTATTTATGTGTTACTGCATTGACACAAATGCAGTACATTATATACTCTAGTACTGTGATGTACACTGTACTGTAGTACTGTGATGTACACTGTACTGTAGTACTGTGATGTACACTGTACTGTAGTACTGTGATGTACTCTGTAGTGTAGTACTGTGATGTACTCTGTACTGTAGTACTGTGATGTACACTGTACTGTAGTACTGTGATGTACTGTAGTACTGTGATGTACACTGTACTGTAGTACTGTGATGTACTCTGTACTGTAGTACTGTGATGTACACTGTACTGTAGTACTGTGATGTACACTGTACTGTAGTACTGTGATGTACTCTGTACTGTAGTACTGTGATGTACACTGTCCTGTAGTACTGTGATGTACACTGTACTGTAGTACTGTGATGTACTGTATTGAGTTGATATTATTTGTACCTTTCAGTACTACTGAGAATCAAAACAGTTCCATTCACTGAAAACTAACTGATAAACAGAATAAAAACAGTGAAGTATGAAGTACTGCAGTGTTTTATGTAAAGTACTGTTTGTGTTTTATATAAAGTACTGTTTGTGTTTTATATAAAGTACTGTTTGTGTTTTATATAAAGTACTGTTTGTGTTTTATATAAAGTACTGTTTGTGTTTTATATAAAGTACTGTTTGTGTTTTATATAAAGTACTGTTTGTGTTTTATATAAAGTACTGTTTGTGTTTTATATAAAGTACTGTTTGTGTTTTATATAAAGTACTGCAGGGTTTTATATAAAGTACTGCAGGGTTTTTTTTATATAAAGTACTGCAGTATTTATGTAAAGTACTGTTTGTGTTGCCAACAATCTGAAAGTGTGTTCACATGATGCAAGTGTGTGTCATTTTGTCCTCAGAGTTTCATTTTGACAAAATGATTGTTCAGTTTTGAGAGCAGAGTTTGAGTTTTGATAAAGCAGTTTCATTTTGAGACAGATGTGAATGGTTTATGTCCCAGTGTGTGTCAGCTTCTCTTGTGTGCAGAGTTTTAGGACTATGAGCGACATTTGGACAAATGTGTTCAAGCAACAGGAACAAACTGTATGTCTGTTGTTCAGGGGTATGAATACTTTTGCTCAGACCTTGGTGACAGATGAAAGGGAACCGTTGTTCACATTTCTCCTGGTCCCACTTCCCGCTGTGATCCAGAACCATGCAGCCTTTATCCGAGTCCAGAGGGTCCTGGTCCCACCCAGACCACCGGACCCAGGACCCATCCACCCAAAGCCACCGCAGGTACAGCCCGATCCAGACCTCCTCCCCTAAACACAGAGAAACTGGGTCTACAGTCTCAGTCCTGGGTCTACAGCCTCAGTCCTGCGTCTACAGGCCTCAGTCCTGCGTCTGCAGGCCTCAGTCCTGGGTCTACAGCCTCAGTCCTGGGTCTACAGCCTCAGTCCTGGGTCTACAGCCTCAGTCCTGGGTCTACAGCCTCAGTCCTGGGTCTACAGCCTCAGTCCTGGGTCTACAGCCTCAGTCCTGGGTCTACAGCCTCAGTCCTGGGTCTACAGGCCTCAGTCCTGGGTCTAGAGCCTCAGTCCTGGGTCTACAACCTCAGTCCTGGATCTACAGCCTCAGTCCTGGGTCTACAGCCTGAGTCCTGGGTCTACAACCTCAGTCCTGGGTCTACAGCCTCGGTCTACGGTGGAGGAGGTAGTGTTGGTGATACCTGCCTGGTCCAGCGTCTGGAGCGCCTGGAGGATATCCTGGGTTTGGTTCTGGTTCAGGACGGAGCTGAGGTTGGTGAAGTTTGCCTTACACTGAGACCGGGCCTGTTTCCACTCCAGGGACTGGTCCAGGATCCAGTGAGTCTGGTCCGATTCTGCAGCACAAACACATACACAGCATCAGGTTATCCAGGGCTATGCTGGTCTCTCTCCGGTCTCTCTCTCTCTTGTCTCTCTCTGGTCTCTCTGGTCTTCCTCTCTTGTCTCTCTCTGGTCTCTCTCTGGTCTCTCTCTGGTCTTCCTCTAGCATCCCTCTGGTCTCACTCTGGTCTCTCTCTCTGGTGTCTCTCTCGTCTCTCTGATATTCCTTTAGCATCCCTCTGGTCTCTCTCTTCTCTCTCTTTCTGGTCTTCCTCTGGTCTCTCTCTGGTCTCTCCCTCTGGTCTCCCTCTGGTCTCCCTCTGGTCTCCCTCTGGTCTCCCTCTGGTCTCCCTCTGGTCTCCCTCTGGTCTCCCTCTGGTCTTTCTCTGGTCTCTCTCTGGTCTTTCTCTGGTCTCTCTCTCTTGTCTCTCTTTATGTTCTTCCTCTGGTCTCTCTCTGGTCTCTCTCTGGTCTCCCTCTGGTCTCCCCCTGGTCTCTATCTAGTCTCTCTCTTGTCTCTCTGGTCTCCCCCTGGTCTCTATCTAGTCTCTCTGGTCTCCCTCTGGTCTCGTTCTGGTCTCACCTCTATAGCAGCTGGCCCTCAGGGTCTCGGTACAATCCTTAGAGACCCAGAGTCCGTCGCTGGTGCGGAGGGCGGTACAGTTCTTCTTGTCCCGGGGCTCATCTGGTGCCCATTGCTCAAACCACTCCTCATTGGCTGAGATCGGCTCAGCAGGCCCCGCCCCCGTCCAGTCCCATACCCGGCTCAGACCGGTCCAGACCTTCCCCGAGTCCGGTCTGGCTGCAGAGTTCTGGTCCGAGGTCCGGATCGAGGCCAGAGTCAGGTTCAGGGCGGCACAGTCGGACACAGCCTCAGACCAGGTCCGGTCCTGGTTCTGTTGATGGTACAACCTCAGGGACACGACCCCATGGAGGACGCCTGGACACAGGACAGAACCATCAGTCCTTACCCCATGAAGACCATAAGGACTCAACATGCTCTGAGGACTGACCTGAGACTGAGAGGACCAGCAAGACCCTCACACCTGCTCAAACACATGGGGTTAGGAGAGACCAGAGAGAGACCAGAGAGAGACCAGAGAGAGACCAGAGAGAGACCAGAGAGAGACCAGAGAGAGACCAGAGAGAGACCAGAGAGAGACCAGAGAGAGACCAGAGAGAGACCAGAGAGAGACCAGAGAGAGACCAGAGAGAGACCAGAGAGAGACCAGAGAGAGACCAGAGAGAGATCAGAGTGAGACCAGAGAGACCAGAGAGAGACCAGAGAGACCAGAGAGACCAGAGAGACCAGAGAGAGATCAGAGAGACCAGAGAGAGATCAGAGAGACCAGAGAGAGACCAGCGAGAGACCAGCGAGACCAGAGAGAATCCAGAGAGAGACCAGAAAGAAACCAGAGAGAGACCAGAGAGAGACCAGAGAGAGATCAGAGTGAGACCAGAGAGACCAGAGAGAGACCAGAGAGACCAGAGAGAGACCAGAGTGAGACCAGAGAGACCAGAGAGAGATCAGAGAGACCAGAGAGAGATCAGAGAGACCAGAGAGAGATCAGAGAGACCAGAGAGAGACCAGCGAGAGACCAGCGAGACCAGAGAGAATCCAGAGAGAGACCAGAAAGAAACCAGAGAGAGACCAGAGTGAGACCAGAGAGACCAGAGAGAGATCAGAGAGAGATCAGAGAGAGACCAGAGAGAGACCAGCGAGAGACCAGCGAGACCAGAGAGAATCCAGAGAGAGACCAGAGAGAGAGACCAGTGAGAGAGTGACCAGAGAGAATCCAGAGAGACACCAGAGTGTCTCACCAGAGTGAGACCAGAGAGAGACCAGAGGAACCAGAGAGAGACCAGAGAGAGACCACAGAGAGACCAGAGGGACCAGAGAGAGACCAGAGAGAGACCAGAGAGAGACCACAGAGAGACCAGAGGGACCAGAGAGAGACCAGAGAGAGACCAGAGAGAGACCAGAGAGAGCTCTACAGTGCTTCTAACATACGAATAATGTTAATTTGTTCGTTTGAAGTTTCTTCATTACTTGCACATTGTGACTTTTTGTGTGAAATGTATTATTTTGACAAAAAAACACTCACCGTTCAT